GACTACCAGCAGCCCAAGTCCTACCGCCCGATTGCACTCCTGAACACCCTAGGGAAAGCGCTTGAAGCAATTATTGCCCGCCGAATCAGCTACGCGGCTGAGGAACACTCTCTCCTACCCCCCACCCACCTTGGCGGCCGCCGGGGTATCTCCACCGACCACGCCATGCAGATTCTGGTTGACTTTATCCGCGGGGCATGGGGTGATGGCAACCCGGTGGTCAGCGTACTACTCCTGGATGTCATGGGGGCCTACGACAACGTGGCTCACCAGCGCCTGCTGGATAACCTACGCAAACTACGGCTAGGATGGCTGGTCCCCTGGATAGAGTCATTCCTGACCGGACGGAGTACACGCATACGCATGCCCGAGGGCACCTCAGACAGAATACCCACACCCACAGGGATCCCACAGGGATCCCCCCTCTCCCCAATCCTATACCTGCTCTACAACACGTGCCTGGTGGCAGCCTGCTCGGAGGGCGACACCACCGCGTTCGGCTGGATTGACGACGTGGCCACGGCGGCCACGGGGCAGACCGAGCGGGAAACGCTCGGGAAGCTGCAGGCCGCCTGCGCCAAGGCAGATACATGGGCCGCGCGGCATGCCTCGGTATTCGCGCCGGCCAAGTATAAGCTCTTGCACTTCGTCAATCCGAGGGCGGACACGGCCCCCGAATTCAGCCCCCTGCGGCTGGACGGGGTCACCGTGCCCGCTTCCGCCGGAGCGGAGCGGTATCTAGGCCTGTGGCTCGACCCGGGGCTCACGTTCTGTGAGCACCGCGCCAAGGCCGTGGCCAAAGCGGGAACCAGCCTGGTGGCTCTACGGGGCCTCGCCGGGTCTACGTGGGGAACCTCCCTGGTGGCCATGCGGCAGATCTACCAAGCGGTGGTGATCCCGCAGATGCTCTACGGGGTGGCCGCGTGGTACCAGCCGGGGTCCATGACCGCCAAGGACCGCGACCAAGCAACTCGCCAGTTTGCCTCCATCCAGAAACGCGCGGCATGCCTCATCAGTGGGGCCTTTCGGACCACCGCAGCCGAGGCGCTTAACACGGAGCTGTGCCTACCACCCATACGCATCCAGATGCAGCAAATGGTCAAGGAAACCCTGATCCGCGTCCGAACAGGGCCGGCGCTGGCCCTTCCCCGCACCGCGCGGAGCCACCGACCACAGAGCGAACAGCGACTAGGAGGTGTGACCCCCATGGAGGCGGAAGCAACGGGAGCGGGAGGATGCCTGCAGGCTCCCCCGCGTACCTTGGCGGGGAGATGGGAGAGCAGGCAGGCGTTCCTCCAGCCCCCGTGGCAACCGCCACCGAGAGTGATCATTGAGGAGCGAAACAACGCGCGAGAAGCTCCCGAGAAGACGGAACAAGAAGGACAACTAACCATATACACAGACGGCAGTGGCTACCAGGGTCACGTGGGGGCTGCGGCTGCAGTTCCGTGCCTGGCGACCTGCACCAAGACTTACCTAGGGCCAGAGACCGCCGCGACGGTCTACGCGGCGGAGCTCCACGCGATTAACATGGCCCTTGGCATGGTCAAACAGTGCCGAGACATCACACGGTGGAAGTCACGAATAGATAAGGGGGTTACGATCTTCTCCGACAGCCAGGCAGGGCTGAAAGCCCTGCTCACACCCCGCATGGTGTCCGGCCAGGCCTTCCTACAGGCGTGCCTGGACAAGCTGCGGTGGTGCCAAGGGCAGGGCATCCAGGTGACCCTGCGCTGGATCCCGGCCCACGAGGGGATCCCCGGGAACGAGGAGGTGGACGAGCTCGCCAAGCAAGCCGCCCTGCGGGGGGTCGCGTTGGCGCGGAGCCACGCCGGCACACGGGAGTGGAGGATACGGTTCGGGGTGGAGAGACTTACCGGGGACCAGCTGTGGCTTGGAGCCGCGGCCAAACGCCGGATCCGCGCGGAAGCGTGGGACCGGTGGGGTGCGGCGTGGGAGAAGGAGCGGACCAGCCGGCCGACCAAGCGGCTCATCGCGGCCCCGAGCAAGCGGACGCTCCGGTACTGGAAGGGGCTGCGGAAAGCAACCTCCTCCGTACTCATGCAGCTCCGCACCGGGCGGATTGGGCTAAACCAATACCTCTCCCGGATAGGGGTGCGGTACACCGCGCGGTGCGGATGTGACCTCGGGGACCAAACCCCGCAGCACATCCTCATGGCGTGCCCGCTCCTGACCGGGTGCCGGGCCGAGATGCGGCGCGAGCTCGGCCGGCTGCGTGTTCCCACGAACACCCAGTTCTGGGAGCTCATCGACCACCCGAAGGCGGCTATACCAGTGGCGGAGTTCGTGGTGAAGTCAGGCCTGCTCGGGCAGTTCCACGCGGTGGATCCTGCAGCGACGGGGGTCACGAAACAGCGGCGAGCGGAGGACGACGAGCGTGGTGAAGATTGAAGGACGCACCCTGCAGCGGCTGCAGGGCCAGGTCCCCCTGCGGGCGACGATATGAACCAGCGAGTGCAAACAGCGCGGCCGCGCGGTGAGGCGCGGGTCCGACGCGGAGGGGTGAACCGGTGGTACGGGGGCCGCAGCGGAGCCGGGGACGGCGGACACGAGAGCAAGGATGAGAGCGAGGGCGAGGGCGAGGGTGAGGGCGAAGCGAGAGTGTATATGAAGCCGTGGCAGCCACGGTATCTTGGGGGCTGCAGGAGCTGGCGCGGTGGTTGGAAGCCATCCCTGCGAAGAGGTGCGGGATGAAGTCTCATTAGAGTTTATGTTTGCGTTGTTTGTTTCCTTTGTTTGACATGTTTGTATTCCTCGGCCGCTGCGGCGGCCACCCCCCGCGCGGGCCGCGGGTTTTTCCGAGCGGAGCGCAGCTCCGCTCAACCCTGCATGGCGGCCAATTAGCTAGGCAAGCTAGGACAGGATAATGAGGACTACTACTACTACTACTACCAGTAGGGGCGCAGATGATACTCACCTACCTACCTTTACCGCTTGATACTGCCCGAGCAGGCCTGTTTTATGATTTCAAACCTAGCTGTATTAGCTCCCAGCTTCCACCTCCCTGCCGAGCTCGCCCGTCGCCTGGTACGGGCCCGAGATGTCCCTCACTGTTGTCCTGCACCGCCGACCCCGAGGGGCCTGCGGCTCTGCCGGTCCCTTTATGAATATATTCTCCGATTGCGTGGTAAGCCCCCTTACCCTCCTGTTGGGGCATCTCCTATATCCTTCGCTGGGTGGCCCGTACTGCGGGCCTGCATGATAACTGCATCTCTTAGGCCCCTGAATTGGCCGAGGAGCTGTGTCTGTAGCATGTACTGACATGCCTGCCGCGCCAGGGCCGGGGTCCGGAGGATCACGCGGTAGTCCGTGGCGCGGCAGTGTTTCCACAGTGTATTTGACCGCAAGGTTGCATGGCGTTGGCATGCAGTAAGCATGTGTTGGACCGACTGCGGCCCCCGACTGCAGGGGCACGCGGTGGAGTCCATGGCATTAAAGGTGCCAAGGTAGCCCGCGAGGGCGATCTTCCCCGTCTGCATTTGGATCAGGACCGAGCTATACGCCCGGTGGAGCCCCTCGTGGAGCTTAAGGACGTCTTTCGTGGGTTCAGGCAGGATCTGCCGCGCGTGGAGCCCTTTGGCACCGGGTCCCCACGCGGCTTTCCATGCCTCGGCGGCTTTGTCCCGCAGGAGCCAGCGGCATGATGCTACTAGGCGCGGCATCTGGGGGGTGAAGTCTGCGTGGCCGGCCGCGGCTGCGGCTGTTTTAGCCAGGGTGTCTGCATGTTCGTTGCCTGCCACCCCCTCGTGGCCGGGCAGCCACTGCACGTGGGCCTGCCCGCCGCGGGCGTGGAGGTGGTCGATTTGCTGGATGATGTCCCGCACGAGGTATTGGCCGGACTGCCGCCGGTCTGGGTCCGCAAGGGCTTGGATGGCAGCTTGGTTGTCGGTGAAGATGGTCAGGTGTTGGTAGGGTTTGTCTGCGGCAAGCTCCAGGGCCAGGGCGACTCCTGCGAGCTCGGCCGCGTACACCGTGTGGGTGGTCTCCTTGCCGAGCGGCTTGACTGCGGTGGCTGTGGTGGTGGCTGAGACAAGCACCGCGGCCGCTCCCACGCCCCCTTGGTGGCCGCTACCATCGGTATAGGCCCGGGGTCCGTTGGTTGGCATGCTCTGGTGCTGTTCGATAGCCTCCTCCCGCGTGGCCGCGATGGTCGTGGTTGGTGGCTCCCACCAAGGCGGTACGACCACCGGTTGAATGATTTCAATGGCGAGGGGCTGGTCTGGGTCCTCCCCGAGGTCCCGCGCCAGCCGTCGCTCCAGCCGCTGCAGGGGGGACATGGTAGGGTCAGTGTCAGGTCGACGGGGGTTCCGCGTGGGGACCCTGTCTCTGATGGCGCGCAGTGTTTGGTAGAATGGTGATGCTAACATTCGCAGGCAGCTATTCTCGGTGGACCACTTGGTAGAGATCTGCGGTGGTGGTACATAGAGGCATATCTCTAGCGCGGCGCGGGACGTGGTCCGAAAGGCGCCGGCTATTCGATAAAGCGCTCCATGCTGAATGCTTTCAAGAGCTTTCATGATCTTGGTTTCGGCACTCTTATATCCCTGCGACCCCCGGATGAGCCACGCGGAGCTCCCATAGAGGATCTGCGGGGTGAGTACCGCGGTGTACATGCGTCGAAGGTTGGTGAGCGGGACCCCCCACGTGGAGCCTGCTATGGAAGCAAGAGCTCCCGTGAGCTGGGCTGCCCGGGTGCGTATGTGGTCTAGGTGGGCGGTTCCAGAGAGGTCAGGGTCGAGGTGAACTCCGAGATACCGCAGGCTCTTGGTAGGTTCTATAGTGGTTCCCTGTATCCGCAGGGGTCGGTCAAGTTCCATATCATTCGGGTTGATCCTGCGCGTGAGGCGCGTGCGCGTCTCCCCGCGGAGGGCGAGCAGCTGCCGTTGCGTGGGTTTCTTCGAGTGAGAGGTCTGGCGGACCATGTGGATGAGTCCGTATTTAGCTATAGAGAACTTGGACGCGTGGGTCTGTTCCCACTGCTCGCATCTTTCGTGTACTTTGCGTAGACGCATGTAGTTCTCTCGTACAGTGATACCCCATGTGAGGAGACAGGTGTCATCGACATAGCCGAGGGCTAATACCCCGTCGGGCATGCCCTCAAGCAGGTCAGCGTTGTAAAAGAGGTAGAGAATGGGTGAGAGGGGGGACCCCTGAGGGATGCCGGTAGCTATATCAGACTCAGCCGAGGCGCCCTCTTGAAGAAGGATTGCCGTGCGGCGGCCGGCCAGGAAGCTGGCGATCCAGTTCACCAGGACCATTGGTACGCGGCGTTTCCGTAGATTATGTAGGAGTCGTCGATGAAATACGTTGTCGTAGGCCCCAGAGACGTCGAGGGTAAGCAGGGTAGCCACCGGGTAGCCGTCCCGCCACGCCGCGTGGACCTGCTCCTGCAGGAGATGCAGGGCATGCTCGCAGGAGCGGCCCCTGCGGCCCCCTATGTGGTTCTGGGGTAGGAGTGCGTATTGCTCAACCAGGTAGCTGATACGCGTGGCAATGATTGACTCAAGGGCTTTGCCAATAGTGCTTAGTAGCGCTATTGGTCGGTAGTTCTTCGGGTTGGTGTAGTCGCCTTTACCTGGTTTGCGAAGTACCACGGTGTTTGAGCGGCGAAAGTGCTTGGGGCAGTATCCCACCCGCAGGCACCAGTTGAAGATATAGTCAAGATGCGGCTCTATCATAGGAAGCACCTGCTGCAGCGCCCGGTTCGGCAAGCCATCTGGTCCTGGGGCCTTGCCTGGTGCGGCGCGCAGGATTGCCCTGCGGATCTCCGGGAGGGAGATCGGGGGCGCTGGCAGCGGTGGGGGGTATGTATATCCGGCAGTGTCGGTCATGTCTGCTTCGCTGACTTCGGGGAACAGCACGCGTTTGAAGAGCTCCGCCTTCTCCTCCGCGCTGTCTACCCGGGTGTCTGTGTCTGCGCCGGGGTCTCGCAGCGCAGGCGTGTATGTTGGTCGGGGGGCACCCCGTGATCGTGCCCACCGGCTCAGCCGCCAAAATCCGTCCAGAGAGGTCGAGGCCTCCTCCACCCTTTCCCGGTGCATGTTCCTTGATAGCTTGATCATCTCCCGATCCGCGTGGTGTCTCGTCCGCCGAAATTCCTCCCATGCTTCCTCGGTTTCGGCTGCTTTCGCGTGTCTTCGGGCTTGTTGTACCTGTTGCTTGAGTTGCTTCATCGCCGGCGTGTAGCCGGGCCTGGTAAACATGGTGATTGTCTTCTTCGGTGTGGCCGCGTTGGCCGCGGTGGTCAGGGCCTCTACCAAGCCCTCTACCTCTGCGTCGATGTCCGTGGCGGCTCCCACCGGGGGCAGGGCTGCGCCCAACGCCTTCCGGTAGTGCTCCCAATCCGTGGCCGTCCAGTCCCACCGGACGGTTTTCGGGGTGGCCGTGGGCCGCAGGTCGAGCTCGGTCAGGATGGGGACGTGGTCCGCCCCGCGGTACCACCAGTCCCGCCGTGGGGTGCAGCCCACCAGCCGGTCTGCCAGCTGGGGAGTGGCCCACGCCAGATCGATCGTGGTCTGCGTACCGGCCTTCTCGTAGGTGACCGCGTTGGCGGGGAGCAGGAGCTCTAGCTCGTGATCCACCGTGATGTCAATAAGCTCGTCGGCTTCGGGGTCGCTCTTGTCGTACCCTTGTGGGTTCCACATGGGGTGATGTAGGTTGAAGTCCCCGACCACCAGGTGCCCCCCGCGGGGGCTCCTGGCCAGGACCCGGCGCAGGTCCTGCAGGGTTTGGTCGTACTCCTGGTGGGATGCCACTCCGGGGTTATATATATTGTGCACGTGGACCGTGCCCGTGTGCAGGTATAGGGTCAGTGTGCTTAGATAGCGCGTGTGGTGTCGGATCGTCCATGACTTCAAGTCAAGGGTCTTGCGTATAAAGAAGCATACCCACGGTTTCTCCTCCTCGTGATCTCGAATGGCGACATGGAACTTGCCGCCCAGGGCTTGCGAGTACGTGGCCACCGCGCCTGTGTGGCGGTAGACCACTGGTTCCTGTATGGCAATGATATCTGTGTTTTGCACCTCCTCCTCACCGAAGAGATGCATCATGACCGGCTTGCTGGTCCAGCAGTTGGCCTGTAGGACCCGCAGCCGCTGTGATTGGTTTTGTGTCTGTTCTACCATCCCTGATACGTGGCATCATCGGGGTAGTTGTCCGTGGTCGTCGTGGCTGCTCCGCTTAGCTCGTCCTCTGACTCCTCCTCGGAGGTCTTTTGGTTGGTGCGGTGCACCGGTGGCACCCTGCGTATCAGCTCCACTCTCGGTTGCTGGCTGGTAGTTATATCCACGTCCATGGTCTCCTGATCCGTCCGTTGTTTCTTTGACCGGGTGAAGTCCGGGTCCTCCTCGACTTCGGAAGCCCCGTTCACGCGGCTCTTGCTTCGCGCCTGGAGAGGCGCTCGGCTCTTGCTGCGGTCCTCTTGTTTGCGGCTTTGACTTTGTGTCGCGGTTGTTTTGCGGCTGGTTCGGGACCTCGCCCGTTCTTGCGGCTCCGCCGGCGGCTCTGCCTGCGGGTCAGCTGGTGGCTCTGCTTGCGGTTCAGATGGCGGCCCTGGGACTCCATCCGGCGTGATATCCATGTCTTGGTGGTCCCCTTTCATCCCCGGTCGTCCGGACCATGGGGTATCAGGGAAGTACTGTGGGCCCATGGCCCGTTGCATGCGGATCTGCTCGATCCGAGCCTTGCGGTGCTTGCACTTGCGGTCAAATGCAAAGTGGGCGCCCTGGCAGAGGGCGCATTTGGCATGTTGCTTGTCGTTTTTGTGGATGCAGTCATTGGTATCATGCGTGCCGGCGCAGTAGGCGCATGCGCGGGGCTTCCGGCAATGATGAGCAACATGTCCGTATTCTTGACAGCCAAAGCACTGCTGCATCTGCTGCTCGCGGTCGTACCGGGAGACCTCGTGATTTTTCCCGCCCAGGACCGCGCCCTGGCGGATCAGCACGTTGCCGGCGCGGTCATTGTCCAGCTCGACCACCAGCATGGAGGGCTTGCCCTCGCGGGTGACCCGCTTCCACGGCTGCAGCCACCCCACGTACGTGATCTCCGTGGGCGTGGCGGCCAGCCGGGGGGCGTTGTCGGCGAGCAGCCGCTCCGCCACCATGCGTTGGTTGGGCTTGTCGAAGCCGACGGCCTTCACGTCCACGTAGTGCAGGACCACCGCGTGGCCCCGGCGCTTGACCATGGCGTCTTCGCCGAGGGCCTTCACCCACGGGGCCGATGGACCCCGGCTGGTACCACGCGGCCACCCCGTAGAGCATCTGCGGGATCACCACCGCTTGGTAGATCTGCCGCATGGCTACTAGGGAGGTACCCCATGTAGACCCGGCGAGGCCCCGTAGAGCCACCAGGCTGGTCCCCGCTTTGGCCACGGCCTTGGCCCGGTGCTCGCGGAACGTGAGCCCCGGGTCAAGCCACAGGCCTAGATACCGCTCCGCTCCGGCGGAGGCGGGCACGGTGACCCCGTCCAGCCGCAGGGGGCTGAATTCGGGGGCCGTGTCCGCCCTCGGATTGACGAAGTGCAAGAGCTTATACTTGGCCGGCGCGAATACCGAGGCATGCCGCGCGGCCCACGTATCCGCCTTGGCGCAGGCGGCCTGCAGCTTCCCGAGCGTTTCCCACTCGGTCTGCCCCACGGCCGCCGTGGCCACGTCGTCAATCCAGCCGAACGCGGTGGTGTCACCCTCCGAGCAGGCCGCCACCAGGCACGCGTTGTAGAGCAGGTATAGAATCGGGGAGAGGGGAGATCCCTGTGGGATCCCTGTAGGCGTGGGTATTCTGTCTGAGGTGCCCTCGGGCATGCGTATGCGTGTACTCCGTCCAGTCAGGAATGACTCTATCCACGGCACCAGCCACCCTAGCCGTAGTTTGCGTAGGTTATCCAACAGACGCTGGTGAGCCACGTTGTCGTAGGCCCCCATGACATCCAGGAGTAGTACGCTGACCACCGGGTTGCCATCACCCCACGCCCCACAGATAAAGTCAACCAGAATCTGCATGGCATGGTCGGTAGAGATACCCCGGCGGCCACCAAGGTGGGTAGGGGGTAGGAGAGAGTATTCCTCAGCCGCGTAGCTGATTCGGCGGGCAATAATTGCTTCAAGCGCTTTCCCTAGGGTGTTCAGGAGTGCAATCGGGCGGTAGGACTTGGGCTGCTGGTAGTCCCGCTCCTCCCCCCCCTTGCGGAGCACTGCGGTAATAGAGCGTTGAAAGTGCTTAGGATTATACCCCGCGTAGATACACGCGTTGAATATGTTCCCGAGCACGTCTTGGACCTCTGGTAGGTCGATAATCCTGTGCCACAGGCTATTGGGGATACCGTCGTCCCCTGGGGCTTTATCCGCCGCCGCGGAGGTGACCGCGGCGACGATTTCGTGGCGTGTAATGGGCGGGAACTCTATGGGCGCGAGATACAACTCGGTGCCGATATCCGACAGGTCCGCCGGCGGGGGCTCCGGGAAGAAGGCGCCCTGGTAGAGCTTGGCTTTCTCCGCCGGGGTCTCTGCCAGGGTTCCGTCCGGGCCGCGGAGCGGGGGAGTGACCCCCTGCTCGTAGGCGCCCTCCCGCTGCCGCGCCCACTTGGCCAGGCGCCACATGCCGCGGGGCCCGTCCTCGGTGGCTTCCTGCACCCGGCGGCGGTGACCCTGCCGCAGGGCTCTGCTGACTATCCTCTTCTTGCGGTTCCGAGCCACCGCGTACCGCCGCCATGCGGCCGGGGTGTGGAAGCGGGTGTATTCCCGGCGGAGCCTGCGTGTTCGCTTCACCGCCTCCTTGCAGTCGTTGTCGAAATCAGGGTTGGACCAGCCGCAAGGGTTCGCCCACGGGGTGGACGCGTCGACGGCGGTCCGTACCGTAGCCATGAATGCCGCGGTTTCGAGCTCGATTCGGTGTTTCAGACCCTCCCCATGACCGCTCACCACCAAGTCCAAGGGGGCTGTGGCTAGAGTCCCATCAGGATTCCGAGTCACGTTCGGTGGGAGGGGACTGAAGGGTATCGGCCTGACCACGAGGTGCTTGGTCAGGGTCTCCCGTAGGCGCTTGTTGTCAGTGGCTTTCCAGTTACGGTGTTTCGGGGTGTGGCTCGGGGGTGCCTGGATATCAAGCACCGCGCTTATAGGCCAGTGGTCTGAATCGTGTTGAATATCGTCGGCTCGCTGCGTGTAGACAAGCCGGTTAAAGAGCGCGCTGGATATATATGTGAGGTCGATTGTGGAGCTCTGCTCGTTTCTCTCCCACGTCACCACGCCCTCGTCTGTGGTCAGCATGAGGTCAAATTCGTCGGCGATCTCAAGCAGCCTCTCCGCGTCGTGATCAATCCTGGTCCCCGGGCCCCCTCACGCGGGGTGGTGGGCGTTCATATCCCCGATGACCACGTGGTCGGTGGTCAGGGGGCGGCCCCAGTCCCGTAACGCGTGCAGGGCTGCAAGCTCGCTCCGGAGCCGGTCAATCGTGGGGCTCTGCGGTTGGTTATATATATTATGCACGTAGAGCGTCCGCTCCTCTGTGCCGCGTTGGTACCTGAGCTTGAGCCACTGGTAATCCTTCGAAATCACCCGCTGCGTCCAGGAGCCGGGGTCGATGCGCTTGGACACGAGCATGCATACCCGTGCGCGGTCGTCGCCCCCGTGGTCCTTGCGTTTAGGGTAGAGCAGCTGGTGGGACTGCCGGGCTGGTTGGTGCGTGGTTTCGGTCATGGGGTTGGCCCATGGCTCCTGTACGGCGATTATGTCAGCCTGCAGGACCTTGGGGTCCAGCAGAAAGGTTGCCATGACCCCTTCGCGGGCCTTGCGTGCGTTGTATTGGATGATTTGCATGGTCTTAGACATTTATATTATCTGATTGTTGGCGCGTCTGTTCCTGCGGGGCCCCGCGGCCCTGGCAGGGGGTTGGTGGTTCACTGATGCCTTCCCAGGCATCCAAATCCGCCTCTTGGGATAGAAGGACTGGTGATTCGGGTGATTCAGGGGCCTCTGGTACCCGGGCTGGGCGGCTGGTGAATCGCTCCAGGAGCTCCCGGTGTTGTTCGCTCAGAGGCTCTCTGTCTAGCTGGGTTTCCCTGTACAGGGTTCTTTTCGGGGGTTCTCCCGCGGTTCCCGGGGAGTTCCGCGTCCGCTTCTGGGAGACCCCGCACATGACCCGCTCGGGGTCCGACATCTGCGTGGCCAGGGGCCCCGAGCGGGTCGATCGGGCTGACTGGGACCAGCTGGCGCTGGCGGCGGACTCCACGCGGGTCAGTTGCCGCGTCGGCTCCGGTAGGCCTCCTTCGGAGGTGGTGGTGCTTCTCAATTTCGGCGGGCGTCCGCGGGGCTTGGGAGCGGGCGTGGTAGTCGGGATCGTGGGTTTCCTTACCTCCCGCTGCGCCATCACCTCCTCCGTGGCCCAAGTCGCGGGTGACTCCGGATCTATGGTAGGCTCAGGACCCCGAACCCTATTGGCAGGGGTTCAGGGACTGGCCGGCTATGTCCTGCTGACTCCGGTTCCGCCAGCTCGGGTTCCGCCAGCTCGGGTTCCGCCAGCTCGGGTTCCGCCAGCTCGGGTTCCGCCAGCTCGGGTTCCGCTAGCTCGGGTTCTGCTGGTTCGTTCCCGACGAGGTCCGCCGGTCCCGGGCCCTCGATCCCCTCAATGCGGTCATGTTCATCGAGACCCGGTGGCGCCGGTTCCTGTCGGGGGATTGGGGGCGTTTCAGCTGGGGCTTTGGTTTTGCTTGATTTCGGGCCTTTTGCCCTCGCAGAGGCTCCCGTACGGCTCTTGGAGCTCCGGGCAGTCCTCGGCTCGGGACCCTGGTTGGCCGCAGGGGCCTGAGTATGAGACCGAGCCCTGAATCGAGCCGGCACCTCATGGTAGGGAGGGCTGAGACAGAGGACCTTCTTCGCCTCCTCCGCCGCAGCTTTGCGTACGGGGCACTTTAGGCTGGTGGCCCGGTGGGCCCCCTTGCAGTTCGCGCACTTTTCTGCTACTGCTCCTCCTTGGTTTGGGTCCCGCTTGGCCGAACACTCCCAGGTCGGGTGTCCCGCCGCGCAGGTCCCGCAGATATATGTTTGGCTGGGACATTGAGCGTGGACGTGTCCGGCTTTCTGACACTTGCGGCATAGCTTGGACCGCACCTCCTTGCAGAATCGGCTGGTGTCGAGAGCTTGGGACTCCCAGATGGTCTTCTGGTCGATGGCCTGGTTGGCGGCCGTGGGACTGGTGAATTCAATCACCACCGAGCCCTCTCGCTTGCCATCCCGCGGTTTGACCAGCCATCCCACGTGGATGATCTTCGCACCTGGTTCCCATGTGCCCTGGTTCGCCCGCAGCAGCTCCGTGGCCACCCTGGTCATGGCGTCCGGGGTGGTCAAGTCCATGCGGCGGATCGGGACCCCGTGGGCCACCACGCCCCACGTGGGCACGCGGACGAAGGCCCCGGGCCCGCAGGTCTTCACCCAGCTGTCCGCGTGTTGCTCGACGATTTCCACCTCGGCCGAGCTCCGGACCCGGAGCTCGAGATCACCCGACGGCAGCTGCTTGGCTGCAATGAAGGCGGTTGAGGCCAGCGCTGCGCTCACGGCCGCTGTGGCCGCGGTCTCGCGGGCCCGCTCCATCTCCCGCAGGACATTGGCCGCGCGCATCTTGCGGAACCGGTCCCGGGTCCGCTGATCTCGGAGCTTGACCACCACCTCGCAGTCCTCGGCGAGTTCCCGGATCGGTATCCCGGGGGTGGCGGTGTGGCCGGAGGATCCTTGCGAGGAGGGGGCTGCGGCGTACGGCTGGTCCTGGCGCCACTGGCCAGCTCGGAAGCTCCGCCACCGGGCTGCTGATTCTGATGAGAGCGACGCGTCTGCTTGTTGGGTGCTCTGCTTGGTGTTTGTTTTAATACGCTTCATGGAGTCCTCCATAGTAGCGATGCGGCCGCGCAGGCTGGCGTTATCTGCCAAGACCTGCTCCAGAGCCGTGAAAACGCTGTCCATGGCCTCGTTGTCACCCGGTGGGCAATTTTCTGCATGCTGCGAAAGAACCCCAGACTAAAAATATTCGGGGCCATCGCTGGATTGCTCATACTGTTTTGAAGTAGCTGCTCAGCCGCTATACCCAGCTCCTTCAACGTGGTGAAGTGGTAATGTGGCTTCTCGGGCGCCCCTGCGGGCGGCCCCTGAGCCACGGCCTTGGGGAGAGGGGGGTCACTATGTTCACTACCATCGCGACTGAATAGCCCGATAAGATCGGTATCAAACGGTAGCGAATGGAGTTACGAGTAATTGGTAAAAAATTGAGCCGAAAAGGGCTTGATTTGGGCGAGAGATTTTAAGAATCCGATGTGTGATCAAAGAGATATTTTTTTATTATAAAGTCATTGCTTATATTGAATACTGGTAGACAGGGCTATTCTGTTAGACAGTACAATATCTGCTTCCAAGAATTCTATAGTAAAAGTACAATGCGGGGCCCGGGCCGCCCGGCCCCTTGGGTCGATCTTAAAAGCGGGGTAATTGGGCATTAGCTTACCCCCATACTAAGTTTACAGCAGAGGTGCTCCCAGGTGACCCTCCAAGTCTGACACTATAAGATGGCTCTGTCTACAGCTTTTTGGTGCCTACGATAAAGACTATATTTCCAAGATTTATCACTTAGCTACACAAACCGCACTCAGCTGTCCTTTGCCCAACACTAATCATAACATGTCTACTCAGTTTGACGCCGCCTCTCTCGCCCGTTTATCTCTACACCACCCTACTCACTTCAACGTCCAGCACTCTCAAACCATTCACCGCCTGGTTCTCCTGCAGCACTGGAATATTCACCCTGACTCCAAGATACTAGAAATAGGATGCGGGCAGGGGGACTGCACGACTGTCCTTGCCGATGCTGCGGGCGAGCAGGGGAGGGTAGTGGCGGTCGACCCAGCAGAATTAGATTATGGTGAGTCCTCCCCCGTTGGTTGTTCGTGCTGCCGATTCTGGTGGTGTGAGCAGAAAGTAGCTAACAGATAAATCCTGCAGGTGCCCCGTATACTCTCGGCGAAGCACAAGGTCACATCTCGCGAGGCCCACTGGGTAGTCGGATTACCTGGATCCAACAAACACCCCTGGATTACCTCTCCTCCCTCTCTTCCTCCTCCTCTTCCACCTCCTCGCTGCCCTCCAGCAAAAGTAAGGCCTTTGATGCAACAGTGCTCGCCCACTGCCTATGGTACTTCACCTCCCCCTCGCTCATTCTTTCTACTTTCCGGGCCCTCAAGCAGCACAGCAAGCGTCTCCTTCTTGCTGAGTGGTCCTTGGTAGCGACGCACCCCTCTGCCCAGCCTCACGTATTAGCTGCGCTCACCCAGGCAGCACTGGAGTGCCGTAAGCCTAACAGCGAATCGAATGTACGCACGGTGCTGGGGCCAAAGCGGATTACCGAGCTGGCCCTGGCTGCCGGTTGGCAGCTGGAGAGTGAGACCCGCGTGCAAGGAGAGGAAGGTTTATTGGACGGACAATGGGAAGTCTCTGCTTGTCTTTCTTCCTCATTTGAACAGGAAGTAGAGGAGCAGGTCAGTAATGAGAGGGAACGGGCAGTGGTTCTTGCGTCACGGGATGCATGTGAGGCGAGCTTGGAGGGTATACAGGGGGGTTGGAAAGGAGTTAGGGCCATGGATGTATGGGTTGCTAATTTTATCTAACTAGAGGAGCAGTAGCAATGATGTTTCTCATTGTCCTGCTGTCCTCACTGTCCTGTCGTCCTGATTATTCTGTCTTAGCTTGCTTAACTGATAGTAACCGGTCCGGTTATGCCTCGATTTGAACAAGAAAGGCGTGGTAGTTGAATAGCAATCTGTAGAGCTATTCTCTAGTACATTCAACCTGAACCTTAGTGCAAAGCAGAGCGCACTATTTTTATCAAGACCATGGGCCTTGGATTAAGCCAAATAATCTTCATGCAAAAACATAGTTCAACACATTGCATACGTAGCCAATAATTTCGGCTTCTACGCAAATACCAAGACAAATGCCTCAGTCTAGTAGACCAAAAGCACCTCGACTAGGATACTTTTTCAGATTCAGGCTTGCTTTTTCTCACAGGGGGTCGCTGCAATCGTAGAATATCGAGTCTCATCTATTCCATATCCGCACCAGGCACCGAGGTGAAATATGGTGGGCGTAGGTGTGTCCATATCATAGCTTGTTCCAACATGCTTGAAGAAAGGCTTGGCCGGATATCATGCGGGGCTTAAGCAGGGCTTTGAGTCCCGCTTGGCTATCCGAGAAGATGGTAAACCCCTTCTTCGTTTATTATTATTATTATCATTATATTGCTACGTCGACTAGCCGGCATAATACGGAAGCTTCAACGAGGTCCAACCTATGCTGGAGGCCATGGAAGAAGACTTTAATCCAAGCACGAACAGATCTATCTTTGAAGCCTGGGAGCAACTCACTAGCCTGAGACTTTCCTCTACGGTCCAAGATCTCAGGAGAGAGATACATCAAATTGTCGACACCCTGGCCCGAGTGAACATCCACCTGCCGCAGGAGCTCCAACTCGCCGCATTCGCCCAGGCTCTGCCAGAAAGATTCAACCGTCTGAAGACCACTTATTTTGACAGTCGCGTCATTAAACTCCTGGAAGGGGACAGCACCACACCTATAGCCACCCTAGATGATTTCGCCAATGCAGCCGAGATAGTTCAATCAGACCCAAACCAGAACAGAGGGAGCCTGACGCCCTTCACTTTCGAACAGCCACCAACTTTCGCGACCAGAGCCAAAAATGCTGATCAAATCTCTGAGCTCAGGTCCAGACAGCGTAATTGTCGAAATCAAAAAGGGCAGCCACTGTGGAGGCTATCTGCACGATCACCGGGAAAGCTTTAAGCTGCACCCAGAGCTCCAACCAGACCGTCGGAGAGCAAAGCGATTCCGGAACGACTCCACCGATATCAGGACCACGTTCATGGAGCATGTTAACACCCCGGACGGATGCCAGCAGGTCAAGTACCAGTAGTGTTGCTTTCGGGGCGGATTGGGGCGAGTTGGGGCGGATTCTAGCAGCGGATTCTGGAGGTCCTCCCAAAAGTTTGGACTTATCTTAGATATTTTAGAACTAGTAATATATGTAATATAAAATCTACAGCATATATCTTTGTAGCTTCAAGATCTACATATCTAAGAGTGTTCAAGTGATGATGAGTTTTGGTAATTCTTCATGACCGCTACGCCAAAACGTTGACCAATGATTGGTACAGGGCTTAATTTGACTGATATACCCAACAATTCTTACCTTACCATTATGTATATTTCTTTCCCACCAACACCCAGTTCTGGAAATTTATCGACAATCTCAAAGCAGTCATACTAGTGGCGGAGTTCTTGAATAAGACAGGCCTGCTTCGGTAGTTCCAGGCGGTGGATCCTGCAGTGACAGGGGTCATAGAACAGCAGTGGGTGAAAAATAACAAGCATGATAATAATATAAGATTATATCTAACAGCAGCCACAGGGCCAGGTTCTCTGGGGATATTGATCAGAACAAGCAAGTATAAAATAGCGTGACCGCGTGATGAGGAGCGGGTCAAACGCAGAGAGATAAGAGCAGTGGTACAGGAGCCACAGTATGAACTAGGAATAATAGATGTAAGGACTGGAATAAGAGCAAGAGCATGAATATACACAAAGCCATGGCAGCCGTGCTATTTTGGGGCCTGCAGGAGCTGGCGTGGTGGTTGAAGTGACGAAGGCATTCCTGCAAGAGAGGCGCGGGAAGTCCTATTTGGGTAATACCGCATTGTTTGTTCCTTTCTGTTTGACAGGTTTGTATTCCTCGGCCGCGCTGCGGGGGAGCACCGTTCCACCCAACTCTGCCTGGCCGCAAGCTAGGACAGGACAATGAGGACTACTACTACTACTGCTACTTTGGCGTAGCGGCTAAGATGATTTAGGCCTTTTGATCAGCGCTGCGGGCCAATCCCCCGACGCGCTCGGCGTTCCCGATCAAGCAACTTGGATTCCCAACTCGGTAATGTCGTCTGGAGTGGATTCCTGGATTGGTATTATTCTGGGTTGTTTCAACAATATGTATGGTGTGTGGATATACAAAGGTAGAAAGAATACACTATACAGGTCGAATTCTATAAACAAGTCCACATATAATACACTTCGAACAGACACCCCTACGGCATCACCACCCGCGGCTGGCGACTGGCCAGTCCCCCAGTCCCCTCGGTCCACGCCGCGGCCGGCGCCTCGGACTCAGCGCGGACGCGTTGCTCCTGCACTAGGCGGCGCACCCCCTGGTTCAATGCCTCCCGCTCCGTCTCGTCCGCCGGCCCGCTGCCCGCCCAGCGGATGCGACAGGTGTCATCAAGAAGATAGACGTAGCCCACCTTGCTGTTCATCATCCCGATTGCCTCCTTTAACCCATCAGTCAGCCCCTTGCGCACCAGAAAGTACCGCTCATGCTGCGCCGGCGGCAGCTTGGCCCGCATCCGGAACATGAATGTCCGGACCAGCCACGCCTTCAGTATGTTCTCCTCCAGGTTGATGGCCACCATCTGCGCCGCCGGCCCGCCGCCGGCCAGGGCCTCAGCCAGGCCCGGGTTCTGCTCCGGCCCCGTGAACGTCGCGACCTGCGCCTCGGCCCAGACACTTGAGAACAGGCTCACAACTGATACCCGACCCCGGAGCACTGCCGTGGTGTCCTGCGGTGCCGTGGGCGAGGCCAGTGTGATACCCTGCAGGTTGGGGAAGTAGAGCGCCTTGTCCCGCTTAAACAGGCGCGTATTTGATCGAAATGTCTTGCCTTGTTGATGTTTCATGTTAGACCACTCACGGAAGTATGGCTTCGCGACCTGTTTTGTACTATTCCCAAGTGTTAGAATCTATCCTCTCACTGAGCCAGGGAGACATACAGTTCCTGCCGTCGGGTGATGTGACGATCGTAGTTTACAAAATCATCGCGTCGCTTGCGGAGGGATCGGTCGTCCACCCCCGTGTTCTGCCCTTCGCTGGGGGGAATCACTGAGCCGATGGGACGGTCGAGCGTCGGGGGCACAAAGTCATCATCACCCGGTTGCGCTGATGAGGAGGCATTCTGCTGGAACTCGACCGCCTTGCGACCTAGGGGCCGATCAGACAGCTTTTTTTCCGGGCTCGGGGTGCTGTACAGGCGTCGTGATGCGGTCACCGGGCGGAGAGGCGTGGTGGTGGAGGAGGTAATTGAACAAAGGAATCGGCATCGGAGACAGCGGCCGTGCGGTCGCACCGCGAGGTCCAGGAATGGCGTGAGAGGAAGTGACGATCGCCACATGGTGAGCTGTACAGAGAGATTGTTCCAGGAAACCACCGGACCTGGTCGCGATGATGGACGGAATCTGCGACCGGAGTGGTGATCCAGACCGACCGGCCGTGGCGCCTGTGGCGGTGCTGGGTGTTTGCATGGTTTGTCTCCCGCCACGACTTTTGCCTGAGGCGGTTTAATCTCGGTTTGTATGGTTTGTTCCCCGATCAGCTCGCCTGCGGAATGAACCATTCCAATTCGAGGGCAATTGGCAACCACGATCTAGATGTAGATGTATGGTGGATTAGTCTGCTGTACTCTCGAGGACTGATTATAATTCACATACAGCGTGGTCACTAGACACGCGTGGCAGTGTTCTATTGGTTCCAAGGGTTTCCATGGTATATATATGACCGTCATGGTGGTGATTATGTCTCGGAGAAGGAGCAGATACCTCAAATAACTCATATCGCGTCATGGTTCCGTGACTGACGAACCACCAAACTGACAAGCTTATGACGGGGCCTCCGAGTGGGATGGATAGCTGACCATCGTTCCTCGCTGCTCGTCGTTGCCGGTCGATCTCGACCGACGGACGGGGAAGCGCATGGCCGCCCTGATGGTTGCCTCAGGCCACACTGGCGTCTCCCTCCGCCCCCTCCATATGATCATGTTCTTGAATGCTTGGTGGTATCGGCCTTTATTCGTTGGGATCCTGGCCCCTCTCTTGTTAGGGGGCTTGGGTCGCTACGGTGGAGGCCGTGGCTTGGCTTGGCTTCGAGCTCTTTGCTTTCCCTGTCCTGGGGTTCTGGTCAGTGCTTGTCCTAGAGCTCCGAGCGGCACTCGGCTCAGAGCCCTGGTCAGCTGTTGGGGCCTGCATATAGGGCCGAGCTTCGAATCAGGCCGGTATCTCATGGTAATGGGGGCTGACGCGGAGCAACTTCTTCACTTGGTCCGCCGCAACTTTCCGCACGGGGCACTTCAGGCTTCTCGCCTGATAAGCACTCTTGCATTCATGCACTTTTCCATCACTGTTTATATTCCTTCTTGCAGGACTGGCTGGTATCTCATGCTTCGGACTCCTAGGTAAATTTATAGTAAGTTACGAGTAATTGGCAAAATTGAGCCGAAAAGGGCTTGGGTTTAAGACGAGAAATTTCAAGAATTCGATTTGCGATCAAAGAGATGTTTCTATACTATTATATATTATGATATGCGTGGAAAATCAACAACAACGCCATTGCCGGTTGGGGTATATGTACAGGAAGCCAAAAACTATTGATAAGAGTAACAATAGTCATGGCGCCTGGTGTCCATGGCCTCGCGCACCGTGCGCGGTCGATCTAGACAGCCGAAGTCGAGGACGTGGTCAAGCGTGACGAGCGGCGCCCACGCCGGGTTATACATGACGGCCGTGCCATTCAGGGCGTCCCTTCGGACCTCGATGTCGCGTTCCTGCCAGAGCGTCCACATGCGATCGATCATAGCATGGTGCAGCATGAACGACGGGTCCTGTGGCGAAGAATACACGTCGGTCATGTCTTTGCCAATAGTGCGATGGCCGGCGCCATGCGAGCCGACGTGGCTCTTGTCACTGGGGTCCATGATGTCTAAGAAGCAGTTGATATCCGGCGCGTCCAGCAGACGCTGCATCGCCGCCTCGTTATTCGTCCGGTCGAGGATGGGCTGGTTGAAGCTGCGTTTCAGACAGCGCGGGTTGTAGTGCCAGGCGCTTGTAGGGAGCGTCGCATGCGGCCCCGCGTGGCTGTTATTGAAGGGGCCCAGGTGGATCTCGAAGTCCTTGAAGGGACCTGACGTGACGCATCCGCCTCCAGTTCCAGGGGGCTCGCAGCCGTAGGGGGGATCGCAGCGGGGCTTTTCGTTGGGGTCGTGAGCGCCGTTGCCCGAGAGGGAGGTGGGACTGCCGTCGAAAAGGGGATCTTCAGTGAGGTTGGTGGTCGCGGGCCAGTTCCAGTATCTAACAGGTCAGTTATCAGTGTATGGACATTGTTGTTTGAAGTCGAAGCTAATACTTACGGTACATAGCCCGTGTAGCCGCATTCCTCGCGAAGCGCTGTTTCCCATAGATAAGTGAAGTGCCGGTGCCACGGGAGAAGCAGTGCATTAGAGTGAATAGCACTGGTGTAGTTCACATGCGTGCTGTCTCGGTCAGCTGGGTCTGGTTTGATTACTTCTTATCACTCACGCCACGAAATCATCCAAGCGGTCTCTCACGCCAGGATATTTGTCGTTGGGGAGATGAGCGGGTTGGCGTCGGAGACACCACACGGCTTCAATATACTCTGTCCGTTCGTGCGCCGTCAATGCACGCCTGAATCACCGGTCAGTATAGCAATGCGCAGTCATGATCGGGCAGTTCATATCATACCAATCCTTTCGGAAGCCCGTGGTCTCCGGCGAGCATTGCTCACTAGTCATAGCCAGGCCCGCTGTTACCAGCAGACCTAGCAGAGATTTTGGCAAGTATTTCATTGTGACACCGCCTCAACAGAATGATCTTGACATGACGGGCCTTGGTGAATATTGCTGGGGAGCCCAGCGCTTTTAAAGCGCTTGAGCTTACAGGCCCTTAAAAGACTAACTCACCTGCCCCGCTGCAGTTCATCTTGCGCTCGGTGCCTGTCAGTCCTCGCGTACCTAGTCATAGATGCTTAGGGGTTCGCTGGGATCCTCTATTTTTCCATGTATCCTGTCTGATTGGCCGATAGGAAGCTCCATGGACGATTGTCAGGGGGTTTAGGGGTTCGCCCGAGGATCAACACTGAAAACTACTGAAATGGACCTCCCAACCACGGGTCCACGCCCAGTGGCTTTGTTCCTGAATCCTGTCATTCGTTCTTTGTCCTGTTTTCGAAATTTATCGTTCACCTGAATTTCAAAAGTACAACATAAGTAAAGAGAAAAGAGAAATCTTTAATTGATCTTGGTACGGAGTACAAGCCTACAGTACAGTATTCACAACCCCGACCCACCGCGCGGGCACCACGAATCCAATCACGGTCGCATCTATTCACACAGGAGACTTCCGACCGGCACTGGGCGTTCGCTCGTATGTTCGCCGGGATGGAGCAATACCGTCTGCCCTGTACACATGACGCCAATACGGCCGTTAGCCTGGTGGCTTAATGTTGGTGATCGGATCTGGGGACTTACGTGAACACTCGACAGGGCTGTTTCAAGTCTAATGTGTACACCTCCCTGCTCCTCGTTAGCCAGTGTCATAGGCTTTAATTACAGCACGTACTCTTCGTCCACATCTGTGCACTCTCCCACGGGAACGTGCAGTGGCCGGCTTGCCTCGCTTGTTCCGATCCCCACCTATTTGAATTAGCGGCGGTCCGGTTATTTGCAGGTTGGAGTTGTACCGTGATGATCTTGGCCAGCGCGGTCGAAGTTGCCAGCGAGAGAATCAATAATTGGAGGGGTTGAGCAGCGTACATGGCTTCAGACTCTTCCGGGACAGTACACTTCTCGAAACATGGTGATTTCCTGCGGTCGCAGATCTGGTATTTAAAGCTGCGTCGGGATGTAGCTTTGTTGGTAACACGGTATCACATTCCTTGCATGGTCAAAGGGGCGACACTCCTTGCTGCTGGTACCCCAACATGTCCCTTGAAGACGGATCGGGGCAGTGAACACGCGACTTTGGCTTGACGCTGCTCTAGTCGGTGGTCGCAGCCGCAGTAGTAGCACTTGTAGTCTTCACCATCCTGTCCTAGCTAGTCTAACTAATTGGCCGCCATGCAAGATTGGACGGAGCGCCGCTCAACTTGGAGAACCGGCGTGGGGAAGTGGCCGCCGCAGCGGCGGCCGAGGACAACCACCAGCTTATGTGGCAGGACCATAAAGCAGCATGTATGTTCTCGCTTCAGGTCGCAATGGCCAATGGGTTTGTCGACTTGGGTGAGAAGTAGGTTGGCTGCTGGCAACCATTGCAGCATTTTTTGTGGGATGTCTTACTTTCCTATCTTTCTTTGTTCTCTTCTAAGTAAACCAGTCTCAGGTACTAGCCGTTGACCTCGCTCGCAATCGTACGCACGGACCCGACTGCCTCTACCTACGAAGACATGGGATCACGGTGGAGACCTCAAAGGAAGCAGACCGATGGACCGGGCTCTGGCTAGATCCTGCGAGGAGAATGGGGAGAATGTAGTATAGTGGTGAATGCGGGGACCAGCCTGCTAGACCTTCGAAGGTTCGCAGGGTCTACACGAGGGACTTCCCTCACAGCTATGTGGCAGTTATACCAGGCAGTGGCGATCCCGGAGATGCTTTACGTGCGGTTGCATCATGTATGATACTAACCATCGCAATAACCTATGCGCAGAGATGACGCGTGATTTGGCCGGTATCGTGTCCTTACTAACACCCAGTTCTGGGAGCTTATCGACAATCCCAAAACAGCTATACATGTGGCGGATATTCTACAAAAGGCAGGCCTGCGCGGGTAGTTCCACGTGGTGGATCCTGCAGCAACGGGGGTCACGAAGCAGCGGCGAGCAGAGGAGGGTAACAGGATTGGTGAAGAGCACAGATTATATCAAGCAGCGGCCGCAGAGCTAGGTCTCCTGCGAGCATCGATGAGAACCAGGGAGTGCTAAACAGCGCGGCCTGGTGATGAGGCGCGGGACCGCGTGGAGGGGTGGTAGGACCGGTGATACGAGGGCCGCAGCGGGGACCGGGGATGGCGGACACGGGGGCGAGAACGAGGACGCGAGCGAGAAAGGATTAAAAGTTGTGGCGGTCGTGATATCTGGAGGGCTGCAGGGGTTGACGTGGTGGCTGGCGTGGTGGTGGAAGCCTTCCTGGCGAGAAAAAAGCATGGGATGAAGTCTCATTAGGATGATGGTTTGCATTGTTTACTCTGTTTGTTCAGTTTGTACTCCGCCGCCCTCCGCTCAACCCTGCATGGTGGCCGCTTTAGTATTCAGTAGTCTGGTACGCTAGGACAGGATAATGAGAACTACTCCTATCATTACTAGTAGTGAATCAGGTTTGAGCCGAAAGGACTTGGTGTGAGCGAGTGATTTCATGAATGCGATTTATGATCAAAGAGCTTCGTTACTAGTATAAGAACTCAAGTTTTGCCAGGGCCCACGTCATCCGTACAGTCAACCTCATGGCTGAGCTCGGACAAGAAACCACCCCCTTCGTCTGGGTCCGACTCCGGAAGGAAACCGCCTCCCATCTCGGCCATTTCATCATCGGTCATTTCACCACCAGAATCCTCTTCCATGGCATACGCCTTCACCCGCTCTGCGATTCGAAGCTTGAGCAGGAAGGTTTTCCACAACCGGAGCATTTCCATCGACTTGGCGTCGGACGCGGCCTGTTCTTGTTGGTCATCTAAGCCAGCCAACACCGCACGCATCGCGTCGTGACACTCCTCCGCGACGACCACCCCTTCAAACACTGCCGTTCCGTGTCGGCCTTTGAAGTTGAACCCTACCACTGCATCTGCGTAGTCAATTCCTAGAATACGGGCTGCCTGTGCCGCATTGGGATGCGTGATGTGAACCCCTCCGGCAGGAATCATGCTCGGAACGTAGATATCCAGATTCCCGTATCCATTGCGCGGAACCTTCCCGTTGACGATGGGAGGTGGCGTATACACCTCGGTCTGAGACAACGCATACATTGCAGTCTCCACAGCCGTACCCTCGTCATTAAATCCCCTTTGCCCACTGGCGGGCACACGCTTGAGCGGCTGCTCGCCCAGCTTGACATCACGACCCAAACGGTACCATTTGTCCGCACTGCGCACAATGTGGACGTCAGACCGGCGATAGACCGGCTCCAATTTCTCATGCTTCGACCCCGACTTGCCCAAGCTGACCTGGCCGATGACGCGCCTGGGGAGGATCACCTCGTTGCGGCGAAGATGGCGCTCCAAAGCATAGAAGGGATGGTCTTTGAAGTCTTGGATATTCCGCGGCATCGGCTCGGCCGCGCTCTTGGCTGTCAGCTCGCTGATCTCCGCTTCGTCCCGGTCCTCCAGGAATGGTTTCTCGTAGAACCGCAGGGCACGAAGCCACCACTGTTCGCCGTTCTTGGACGTTTCCACCCGGAGTTTGCGGGTCTTGGCATTAAACGCTTTTGTATAACGACGTGTCACATCTCTAGCGGAAGCGTCCTCCTCGAACGCCACAACATAACTCATGCAATTGTATGGATCGCTAGACGGGGGCTCAAACTTGAAGGCCTTCGCCAGGGATTTGGTCACAAGCGGGTCCACCGGGATCCATTTCTGGACCGATTCGTTGAACGCTTCCACCCAGAACACCGGGTAAGAGGACTCTCGCCGGGCCGGGCGGGTGGTGGCTACTTTCCGAGGACGGGACGGGGCTAAATGCGGGCGAGCTAGTCGCCGAGTTCGCGATGGCGCCGTGTCCGATGGAGATCGCTTGTCGGTCGATATTTCACGATCATCTGATGAGGTAGCGATGGATTGCGAATGTGACTTCTTGGCAGGCGTCCGGTCTGTGACAGCTCCAGAGAAAGGCAGCGGCTGCAATGAGCAAACCAGTCGAGCCTCTACCGCTGCCGACCGGAGTAACGCACAGAAGAGCTGAGCCCCAAAGTCCCGCGAGCCTTGCAGATTGCGTGCCTGCGCCAGAAAATCATCCTTTGACAGGAACACTTCTGTGTCTGCCATAATTGACTCTGCCTTGTGCGTCACAGCCTCCAGATTATCCGCCCAGTGTGGTCGCTGTATCCCGGGGGATGTGATGCGGAACCGGCGCAAGAATGCCTCGCTAGCCTGGTTCAGCCCATCAACGAATGTAGTGGATCGGACATGCTGGGGCTTGTCTTCGGGGGGGTTTAAAAGGGAAATAATCCGCCTCGGGAGCATCTGCTTCAAGAACCCTTGTAGAACATCATCATTGCACCATAAATTACGTATCTGTACGTGACGCAGTAGGCACAGTAAATGAACCTTGTGTAAATCCAACCGCAACTTTCTTTCAGCGTTGGAGATAGGCTTCCGCGAGACTGTTTTCTGTCGTTGGGCGGCTGGTGCATCCAGGGTGATCTGTATCGAATCCTCATCCTGCCCGGCAGCCGGGCTCAAGCCAGGCACTACCCCAGCCTGAGGTGACTTCTGTTCCAGGTCCACCTCTTCCCATTCCATGTCCGACTCATCGGAGCTAGGTGAGTCATATACCGTCTGCACTGCCTGAGAAACATCCTTGCCACGCGCATCACTCGTGTCGTTTTTGGTCGACCCGGGCGTTCTCGACGGCGAATCCGACGTCTGCACTCGTCGTCGTTTAATCTGTCGCGTGGAGTCGAACGCGTGTGGATCGCGCGCTTCCGCTTCGGCTAGCATTTCCTGATAGACGGCGGGGATATCATTGTCATCGCGCTGTTTCCCCGAGCTGGTAGCAGTAGTCTGACGCATGCTTGATAACCTCGACAAATGGCATGGATGATCATGTGGAAATCAAGATGGTTAACGAGTACGTCAGATCACCTTAATACGAGATAAGAAAAAGCGGTACATGGTGGCAATATTCTTCGTTACCGGTTGCATCATTGTTTATTCCTACATAAATTGCTTGGGTATCCTTGCCATTCTGTTGCACATATATTGTATTTTTGGTCTTGGCAATACTGGTAGCTATCAATTGTGCCAAAGCGGTTTTTGAAGGATAATCCAGCGACCTTATAGATTGGTAGTGCGACGAAAAAGAAGAGTGGTGATGCGGTTGCATAGTCTCGGACAACACGAGACCATGATGTCATCTCTCTCCACTCCAGATCCAGATCTACCATCTCTGCTTCGCCTCTATCACCTTACACCTAATAGGCTCCTCCCGTAATAGCAGTAGTAGTACTCCGTAGTAGTCCTCATTGTCCTGTTCTAGCTTGCCTAACTGACTGGCTGCTGCAGCGGTAACCCAGGGATACAAACATGCCAAACAAAAGAAAACGCAACCTCCATCACGCTCCTTGTATGGATGTCCAATCTCGACCGCCACCCCAACCTCTGTAACCCCAGAGATACCACGGCTGCCACGACTTCATATCTCCGATCTCATCGCCGTCATTTTCTCCCTTGCATCCGCTTCTTGAGTCCCTGCTGAGACGTCCGTATCACTGGTTTTACCACCTACACGTCGAGCCCACGTCTCGCTACGCAGCTCCGCGTGGATTTATATTTTTTGGCTCCTTTCGGCGGCTGCAGGGCTACCCTTGTTTGCGAAAGCAGTGTCACCCCAGGAACTCTTTCTTTATCTCCCAAATCATATGCCAAGGACACGAGCATACGCCAGTACGTTATGGGTAGAGCTGCATTCGCTGCGGGTTCGGTGCGGTTCGGTGAGGATTTGCGGTGCGGTTTTGCCACTCTATTTATGGGAAAGGTCGCGGGATTATAAAAGTTCCATAATTATTCAGTATAATGGAATACCGTACTGTTAAAGATGTCATACTATGTCTCTGTGTGATCCCATACGCGTGACTTGTGTAGCTGGAAGGTTCTATGCAAAATGGTACAAACCGTGGAACTGTTGAAAGCTGGCCTCCCCAGCAAGGCAAATCATCAACACTTTTCCTGTTCCTATCTTACCCCGCCCCTATCTTACCCCTGGCGTCGACGCACATATCCGCTTGTGCAGAATGCAGAACTAGCCAAGTGGTGTATTGTAACATCAATGACCCTGCTCATTGTACTATTCGGCTTGTCAGTAACCAGTATTCCTCTGTATTAGAGGACCCCCTCATTTGAGAGCCAACACCAGATGTTATATTTTTGAAATCCTTGGTGGCACCTTCTACCTCAAGGACATGAGACCTTATCCCTTGATTAGCGACATTGCCACTCAAGCGAGCAGATGGGAGCAAAGTCCCTCGCATGCCCCTACCCCTGGTGATTTCGGCCGCGAGCAAACGCCATCTGTATCTTGCGCCTCTCCCACCTACTCATACGGTGACCCATCTTCTCCATCGCATCTACCCACGTCAGAGCGTCTTACCTTTCTTGAAGACACCAGCCTTGACCGGGGAGGCATACATAATGAGGATACTCCCGAGTCCATAATGTATTTGATTGAGTGGAAGGTGGCCCTCGATAAACGCTTCCTGGCAAAAGACACTGAACAGGATCTGATCTTCAAACCTAGTACCTACCGGCAACAGATAAAAGAGAAGGCTGAACGTATTGTGCGGCGGAAAAAATTTCGTAACCAACGAGCACGGTCAGATGATACAATCGTCACTATCGCTGTAGATGATCATTCACAACGTGATCTTACTAAACATTTCGAAGGCACAGATACTGATTGGACCCCTATAGAGACATGACTGCTACAGTGGGGGAGTTTATGCCGTCAGGGGAAGAGGCTTAGACTTTCAGTATCCATCAACTATATAGAGGACAAAGCCTCGCCTTCCTCGAGGACCGACAAGCGAGGCAACACTTCTACCACTAACAGAATGCTTCGTGAGTATCGTGGCCTTCATCATCAGGTAATCGCTGAGGAACTATCAGGACAGTCTCCAATCTGGCGCAATGTATATAAGAAGATGCGCTGCCCCGGACCACCTTGTCACCATGAAGGGCAGTATTGTTGCTTAGATCCGGTGGGCAAAAAGCATTATAAAATGAGAGCCCATCACCTGAAGGCCTTGGTTAAGTATGTGGAGCAAGGGGGTGTCCTGGAATGTCATAATGACGTTCCCTATGCGGTCCGGGAGCAACTATATGCGGAAGAGCTGCAGCGAATCAAAAGACGACAGAAACACGCCGACATTTTGCGTCAGTGTGTCCCCAATCAACATCCATGTCGCTTCAACCCTGCCAACCAAGCAACCTCAGCCACAGAATAATATTGATAATATGACGAACACAACTTCTGTCGGTCATCCCGACTTGAACATTTTCGGGCCAATTGAAGAAGCTGTGGAAGAATACACTAGTTGGCAATAGCGAAAGTAAATACTCAGAACTTCAAGACAAATATCCGGAAAGCACGAGAGGTTGTGCTAGCGAATTATCTCGATCTCAGTCAACTCCAAAACTCAAAAATTGGCGCAGAACTTCTCGTCAGAGAGGGCGTGAAGATTGGGATTGCCTACAAATTTGTCAGTGAAGTAAATGGCTTAAACAGCGCAAAAGGACTAGGACGACTGAGGACGATGATGCCGAGAGTATACTATTTTAGCAGGCAGGTGTCATGAATAGTGACATAACGGTAAATTCAGCCGTACGAATCTAAGATACAGATAACCATACGACGCACGAGCGGTATCCAACGTAGCATTAGGAGGCGCTTGTAAAAGAGGTCCGAGATTTGGTATGGAAAGCTACGTGATTACCACTGTTAGGGCAGTATCAAGCGGTAAAGGTAGGTGAGTGAGTATCATCTGCGCCCCTACTAACGATGTCTGCGTTGACCGGGATGGCAACATATGAGACCTAAAAGCTTCATGTAATTAGTGATCATATCGGCGGTAGCCTGGCCGTCAACAGAAGACCTCCGCCACTCGGCAATAGGCTGACAGATGCGAGTATGAATGAATAATAATAATAATAATAATAACTGTCAGCTAACATGCAACGGTAGCCTTGCTGAGATGTCAATTCAAGAAGAATTATACAAGAGGGTCAACATCATTGAGAGAGAAGCTGCAACTAATCGCTCCTCCTAATACATCAAATATAGGTGACTTTCGGGTGTCAAGCCCAGTATAGCTATTCCAACTTGATAAAGTGAAGTCAAATGATATGGACCATGACATTATTGTTAAGATTACTAGTAGAGCGTTATTTTCTGCCGAAAACTTTATAGAGAGCATCTTGTTTCCGTGATTTGTTTACCATATCTTTGGAATCATTTCCAAATGCTTGTACTCGCGAGCTCTGAAAATCTTGCAGTCCAAGGAATCCCCTAAAATTGAGGCGAGTGAGGGCACCAAGATTTCTAGACACCTTACTTGTTTCACTATGGTTAGGACCAAAGGCCTGTACACAGCCTGCCAGTGCACGCTGGTAAATCACCTCTGCCTCCAGTTTGTATTGATCAGAGTAGAGAAGATCAATATTATTGGCAGTGAGTAGGGTAGATATATGATCAGGACCAAGAGTTCGTTCATAGCCTGCCAGTGCACGCTGGTACATTACCTCTGCCTTCTTCAGCTTGCCTTGATGTTGGTAGAGATTCCCAAGATTATGCACAGTGTCTAGGATAAATGTATGATCAGGATCAAGAGCCTGTTCACAGCCTACCAGTGCACGCTGGTACATCACCTCTGCATCTTTCAGCTTGCCTTGATTAGAGTAGATATTTCCAAGATTGTGCACAGTGTGTAAAGTGGATATATGATCAGGACCAAGTG